ACATAATAATTTTTTGTTGTTTGAATTTTCCACGTGCAAGTCCCAATGCACAATTAAATATAAACTTAATTATATCATACTTAGAAATTGTCAAAATTTTTATCTAAATGAGAAATGTAGTTTTGGATGATTTTTTTTTCCCAAGCTACTTAACTAAGTGTACATTAAACATGATAGACAAAAATTAGGAGCTATGCACGGTTTCCTAACATACATGAAACAAATGTATTCATTATTCTCAAATTTAATACTAAGTAAAAATTTAATGCAATAAGAAGAGATTAGTTATCAAATAATGTGCAAACATTTAATGTAGATTTTGAGCGGGAATTTGGCAGCTGCTCCACTTTAATATATATATATATAGATTATTAGAGTTGTACTTATTTATTTGAGATTTGAGATTTTGGATGAAAATTTAAAATTTCTCATTTTGAATGGTATTTTCTATAAAATATAATCAGATTTGAATTATTAAAATTCAAATCAAATGTAATTCAATCAAACTCTTCTAAATATTATCAATATAATTAAATAAATTAAAACAGGAAAATGCTACAATTCTATTACGGGATGGTTACGTCTAAAAAAAACAATGAAATCATCCCGTAACGGGACTGTAGCCTTCTCCAAATAAATATACCAATCAATTATTATGACACACACTTTAATCTAAAATCTTTATTAGTCCTCTACTCAATCAATTTTATTAAAATGTAACTCACTTTTACCAATAAATTCAATCAAACTCGATTTTATTTATACTGAATCCGAACTTATGTATAAGGATATGATTTGGTATTTTTTATTTTGTGCTTGAAATTTAGCAGATCTTGAAAATCTTTATAATTTCGATGTTAAATAAGTTAGAAACATTTTTAACCCAACCACTATTCTAAATCAATTTACTCAATTCCACTATTATCAATATAATTAAATAATATCAATCAATCATTCTTACGCATCACACCAACTTTAATTCACTATTCATACACTCATGTAATTTTAACTAACTATCACTTCAAATTATCTCTCTCCGACTTTCACATCAGATCAACGTTAATTATTTTATTATATATATTATATTAATATACTCACTAACAAATCACACTGTAAAACAAATTAGTATTATAAAATTTTTGTGTTCTAACACAATCTCCGTGCTCTATACTCTCCACCGTCGTTTCAATTATATTATAAGAATATAAATTTCTTTAATTCATTCTTTGATACAATTTTTTTTAACACCTTTTACCCGTGTAATTCATGGACAACTAGTACTGACCCGTGCGATGCACGGGATGGTATATATATTTTTTTTAATATCAACATTAAATTTAATGCACTTTGTAGATATGTAACAAATATAAAATGAAAAATTTAAAACTTCATAAATTAGTAAATACTTATTTGTACACAACGTTTTGGGTCTCATTTGGTGGCAAGTCATCGTCATTACAAACTAATATCTTCAACCCTCTCCGATTGGTGACACGGGAGGCGGCAACATATAATTGCCCATGACTAAACACCGGCTTCTTAAGTAATAAACCAACATGCGATAGCGATTGTCCCTGGCTCTTGTTGATAGTCATGGCATACGATACCATAACGGAAAATTGTCGCCTCTGGAATCATCGGATGGTTGCCCATGACCAACGTGCTTTCTACACTTTGAGCAATCGGATCATCGGATGGTTGAAACAATATATCCACAGGTATGTCAATCATTGCACAACCATCGTTTGACCCTCTTATAGTTCCATCACCAATGCTCGCAATCCATTCAGCGAACCGAGCAACCTTTTCACGTTGCTCGGAATCTCTAAGACTCTGAAGACGCATGTTCTTTGTAAGCCTGAGCACAGTACAACTCCTCCAGATGTCAGAATCATTAATCGCAACATTCATAATGTCTTGACGACTATCCTTCGTAATTACAGGAAGAATTTGTCGGAAATCTCCACAAAAAACAACTGATTTACCTCCAAATGGTTTTTGCTTTTTAGAAGGATCAATTGCTCTCATAATATCTTGCAACGATGCATGTACAGTTTCGAAACAATGCTTGTGCATCATTGGAGCCTCATACCAGATTATTAAAAAACAACGTATTATCAATTTGGCAAGAGGGCTGAGTGATATTGCAAGAAGACTCCTGGTGGGGATTCAATGGTATTCCAAATCGAGAATGAGCAGTTCGTCCACCAGGCAACAAAAGTGATGTTATTCCGTTCGATGCGACACACATCACTATACTACCTTTGGATCTCAATCCAGCAGATAACGTTCTCCACAAATATGTTTTTCTCGTTCCACCATATCCATATACAAAAAAAAACACCGCCTTGACCGAAATCCCCAGATGACATAATCGTTGAGTAGACTCCTTTCTGTCCATCCGTCAAGATGAATAGCATGTTCAACAGCAAGAGCCTTTCGATCGAAGCTCAGCTCATCCAAAATTAGACAATTTGAATTTAAATGCATGTTGTCGCTATCAGGAAAGGGCATAGTAGAATAATCACTAAGAATTGATCCACGCTGTCGCAATAAATACTCAATATCAACAAGGGCTAGATTCTGGATTTGCTCTTCTGTAAGCAACAACCCTAATATTTGAAGAAAAAAAAAAGGATGAGTTAGCATCACAACAATTAAAAATAATGGTAAATGAATCATATATATATATATATATATATTATAAATTTTAAATACAATAGATCATTAAGAAATACAAAATAAACAAAAAAGATAGATAGTAAATTTTAAAAAATTATGTCCTCATTGTGGAAGACGATTTCCAGCACGTTCTTGAATTTGGCATCAAATTTGCGTTCAAATACCATCACCGCCCGTAGTTTCAAATAAGGCTTGTCAGTACGGTTGACAAACTTGAGAGCTCCCCACACAAGCGACATTTTGAAAAGATAAAAAAAAAATGTAATGTTATAAACCAATGAAATAAGAATGTGAAAATTGAGGATGAAGTGTGATTAATCGATTAATTAATGACCCATATTTATAGATTTGAAAGAACACATTAAGAGTCGTAAGTGTATTTATTTCAAAACGAAATTGTGTTTTCCTAAATAATATTTATTAAATAGGTAACAAAATATTCAAACTATTAAATAATTCAAAAAAAAAAAAAAATCGTCGATAAATTGGAAAAAAAAACGTCTATAACTAAGTACGTAAATTAGAATTAGATGGGATTTTATCTTTACAAATTTAAAAAATCATAACATAGTTATCCAAATCTATAGGATCACGTGCTATTTAATTCCATACAACTTTTTTTTTCCAACGATAGATATTATATATATAGAAAGTCAAAGTACAGACTAGTCAACGGCCACTAGCCGAGAGAAACAGCCAACAGCCGAAACTAGTTGGGAGGCATACAACAAGGTAGCCTAGAGCCAACTACATAAAAAAACAACCCAATATCCCTACCAAACTCCCATAGGGAGAACACCCTCCCAAACAAGGGGAGAAAAACTCCCAAATCAGGGGAGAACACACTCCCAAACAGGAGAAGGAGGAACTCCAAACAGTGGAGACAAAACAACTCCCAATAGGGGAGACAAAACAACACCACAAAGGCCAAATAGAATTAGAAACAGAATACAGAAAAACCTAACTAAAAGCTAAACCTAAAACTAAAGCAAAGCCCTCCCCACCGGCAACATACGAGCACCCATCTGACACGACACAAAAAAGCTGAGGCAGCAACCCAGATTCGGAAGCAACGCCACCCACTGCACAAACCGAATCTAGAGACACCGAAGCCGGATTTCCCGACCCGGATTGGCAAACCCAAGCTCCCTCACAGTCTACTACCTCAGTTAGCCCTAGCAGGACAGAGCCAACACCTTCCCTCACCATACCCCCATCGACGCAGCCACAAGAACCGCCCTCGATCGTGTTGGAACCCATGAGGATCTCGATATGCACAAATCACAGACAAACATTCAACATAAACCTATGCGCAGCGGATCTAAAGGTTTGATGAAGAAAACTTACTGCTTAAAATTTATGTAGATCTGGCTGGCCCGAACAGT